CCGAAAGTGAGTACTCCTATGTCGAGAGTGCCGGGCGTACTACAAGCAGTCCAGCAGCAGTTAGGTCACGCTGGCCAACTAAAGACGGAGACAGCCATACGTCAACGGTATTGGTGGCCAGGAATCCACGCCGACGTCGTGAAGCTATGTAACGCCTGCGAGATCTGTGCCGCTATCAAATCGAAGACCCCCTATCCCGGGCCCCATTGGAACCGATAGTGGCCACGTCTCCAAGTCAGCGAGTCGGAGTCGATCTAATGGGGCCTTTGCCAGTCACAAGGAACGGGAACCGCCACCTCCTTGTTCTTATAGATTATTTTACGAAATGGTGCGAGGCCATACCTATCAAAAATCCGGATGCGGCAACGGTTGCGCCAGCCATCGTAAATGAGTGGATTGCCCGCTATGGAGCACCGCTGTCACTGCATTCAGATCAAGGCGCCGTCTTCGAGAGTCACCTGCTTCAGGAGGTGTGTCGGCTGCTCTCGGTGAGGAAGACACGTACCACATCGTATCATCCACAAGGGAATGGATTAGTAGAGCGCACCAACCGAACTATAAAAGGGATTTTGCAGAGTTTCCTGGAGCGGCAAAAGTCAGATCGATGGGACGAAGCTATTCCACAATGCATGATGGCGTATCGAGCGTCTGTGCATGCAACCACGGGGTATTCTCCAGCCTTCCTGACATTTGGTCACGAGCTTCGTTTGCCCCTGGAGCTGATATCCCCTATTCCCCCAATCGAGGCTTGTTCTCTGTTAGACTACGTACGACAGCTTGGCGAACGTCTTCGATCAGCCTTTCTGTGTGCGGGAGAACACGCAAGGATAGCACAGCATCGTCAGAAAGTATGTTATGATCGGCACAGTAGGGGCCCTGAATTTCACATTGGAGATCGCGTATGGTTGCACCGCCCAAGACCTCCGCCTGGCGCAGCAGCGAAGTTTCACCGACAGTGGCAAGGGCCATCCGAGATTGCGTTCGTCCGTTCACCCACGGTGTATGTCGTCCGAGATGTCGCTCAACCAAATTCCGACGTTCTGACCGTGCATTACAATCAGCTGAAACCAGCGAGATCTTCAGCCTCTACTCCGAAGGAGGAAGTCGTCCCACCCGGATGCCTCCCGATCGTGGAACACACTGTGGAGATACCCCCGAAGGCGGCTCGGCGAGTATTCAGGGCACTGAGACACTGAGGACAGTGTCTTCGCCGGAAGGGGGGAGTGGTGTAACGAACTCGAAACCGCCATGGGTCGTTTTAAAGACTACTTAAATGATCTCTTTCTTTTCTCTTTCATTTGCAGATTCTCGAGAAACCGCAGATATATGAAAACGTGCGAAGGCACTTTACCGACGCAAAATCTCTGACATTCCCTTTTTGTTTTGATTGTCTTATCAAGGTCCTGTACACTCCTCTGTTTTTCCTGCTGTGGATAAACGTGCTTCCTCCGTGTCTGCTCGTTTTGCCCGTGTCACGCTTGCGTATTGCGATTCTGTGAGTGCCCGGTTGCTGTGTGGGCTTCCCGCGTCGTGTGTCCGCTGTGATTGACCGTGCTGCTTTCTACCGCCGTTGATTCGTTCCGTGCCCGTTTTCCAGCTCCCGCCGGTACCCCATTCCAGGAACTCCGTTACAGATACATGCGATTTCAAAATTGGGGTGATGTATGGAGGTACAACTGATCTAGGGATCTAGGAAACTATGATGAAATTGTGCAGGATAAGGGTAGTGGCGCATCACTCAAGTATGCATCACGGAGAGAGAGGCTTTCTAAAAGTCACCTATTAATAGCCCATACCCTTACGGGATGTGCAACGGAGTAGATAGAGGCCGCATGTGTGATGTGGTGGCAGACCAGCAGTTGAGCATCACACAATTAGGAAGCACGGATAGACAGGAATTCTAAAAGCCGCATTAAGACACACAATACACTTAGCGTGGGTGAAAGGAAGTACATAGGGGGCAACCGTTACTTAGCTGCTGTGACGCGGAGGTATTTGCGTTCGTAGCGAGATCCACCGGGTTGCAGCACCGAGAACAGACACAGGTAGTTGGAGACAAACCGGGAATAGATGTGACGGACGTGCCACATAAAGGGGTGTGAACCGTGGCTGTGGAGCAGGCGTAGGATGGTTGCCGGATATGGTCCGTCCGGACCAGTGTGGTATTCGTTGAGGTGAATAACCGTAATGTGGGATCATCATTATCACGCTGTGTGTAAGAGACAAATGTGTGTGGACTATAAAAGGCCAAAGGAGGAAGTGAGTGCCATGCACAATCGTATGGATATATTGTGCAACGGAGTAACAGTGAGTGGACGCGGGTGTGCGAAACATACAATAGCGTGTTGCCGACAAAGTATGCGTGTGGGCTGCAACAGGCCCAGTGCTGGAGCGATGAGCAGTGTGAATGACCGCAGGCGTGGAACGAAAGCAAGAGCCACATATTAGAACAGCTGTGGGCGGCCGATGCTGTATCGTGAGTGTAGGCAGGTGGAGAATGGCGGAAGATAGTTACGATAAGTGCGAAGATCGGGGATCTGGTGTCTAGCGAGGGAGTTTGGACGATATATGGTATCTGTCAGAGGCTATAGAGTATTGCCCGTAGCATAATCGAGGGGCGCAGTATAAGGGCAGTGGATAGTTACAGATGGTCTCGGGGGAGGTACTTTAGGGCTTCTCGCGAGCGCGAGGCTATCTGATGGAAGCTATAGCGGATACTACTTGACACGCTAGAGCGCCTGGGAGACGTGTGGGCGGAGTCGTTTACATAGAGATCTCAGGGCGTGAGCGGTGCAGGAAGTAACTCGCGCTTGTGTCTGGCGCTGGGCAGGGCTATGAGGAGGGCGGGTATCGCGGCGCCGATAGTAAAGTGCAGTGCAAGTGGCCACCGACGAGTGCACAGGGTGAGATCGTATAAGCGCACGATTATCGAGAGAATAGGAGCGGATCGACTCAGGGAGCTATTTCACTATCGTGAGTTGCCATGCAGCGTGTGATGACACGCTATTACACGTTAGTGGGCCTTGCGTAGCGAAAGTGGGGGAGGAGTATAGCTGACTGCCACCCGATATATATCGACTCGATTACTATGGTACGCATCTAGAGGTAGTCTCTATAGGGGCAATACGGAGGTAGGGTCCGGGATAGATATGCTCTGGATTAAATGAGCGTAGTGTGCGCGAGGTGGTTTGGGATCTAGCGGTTCGATCTTTCAGACGCTATCCGGGTATACGTAACTCTTAGTTGAAAGGCAGTAGCAAGAGGCTGATAGCTTGTGAGTGCGGTGGGGCGGGGCAGAACTAAGATATCTGAGATAGTTGAGACACATAACACGTGTGGAGCGAGTAGGTGGTGTTGGGCGAGGGGGGCATAGGAGGCACATCTATGAGGGGGGCGCACTGATCATAGACTGAATCTGGGTGGTGGTCTGTGTTGCACAATAAACTAGCACGAGGGCGTTATATCTTATATATGAATCTTTAAAGCACGTTGTGAGTGCACAATAGAGCTACATTATAGGCACTCGGGTGCAGCGAGTATTCTATAGCGCGTAGAGGTTATGAGGACTGCGTGGCAATTCGTTAGAGCGTGTCATGATCCGTGGGCGAGCGGCGGGGGTATGAGTGAGGAGGCAGGGGTGTGCAGGTTTGAGTGGCTTAGAGTAGTTGCGAGTCTCTCTGGACACAACTAGGAGAGTGACCTTTCAACTGCTAATTCATGCCGATGCTCACTCTCTGACGAGACAGAGAAGCGACAGAGTTGTCATACACACTCCTAGACAAGCTTCTCATGCTAACTTGGACGTATGCGGACATGCACGAGCGCAGTGTTCACACACATTGTGCAGGCCTATAACTGGTGAACGATGAGTGTCTACAACAAATAGGCTTCTATATCCAACACACACTCTGTTAGATCTGAGGTTCACCGATCTACTAACAGGCGGCGAGGCGGGTATCCGAGTCGGTGACAAGGCTCGTACGGAATACAGATCGGGAGTTGTATAGGACAAGAGGGGCGACACGGGGCTTTTGGACACGTGTGCGCTTGCGATCATTTAGATGGTCTGATGGCATGGTGAGGCTTCACAAACTATGTCGGAGGAGTGCTACACAACAAGAAATGGCGCGGGAAATACACCGAGAGTATCAAACAGGAGCGCGTTCATGATGGGAGTACGAGTGTATAAAGGGATTACATTGATCTCTGAAGTCGCATCGATCAGCTGGGTTCTGGGGGTGTCATGTGCTAGCAGCAGATGGAGCGTGGGTCCGGTGCACGTCTTAGACAGAGGAGTGAGCGGACAGATGGCGGGATAGGGATATGGAGAATCTAAACATGTAACATACACCTGCAGGAACTCTATGACTCATCTAGGCACTAATATGTTGCTAGCCATAGTTTATGTCCTGTTGCGCCAAAGTGGAGATGTATATGTGCTGTCAGCATCCGGGGTTGTGTGCACAGCATTTTATATCTTATGAGAGATGGGGCGGCACTGTATCCGTCAATAGTTAACGTTCGAGAGAGAGCAAACGCTCGCCATACAGAACAGGGAGACAAGAGACACCTTGGAGGATTGTGTGTGAGATCACATTGTTCACAAGATAGAGCAGCGTGTGGTGGTCGCAATTGCGAACATGGCTACTAGCACCGATTGAATGTCTCGCCGAACCACACATACATACGACAATAGTGCGTAGGGGAACAAAGAGAAGTATAACAAGACGGGACTGTGCAGCGAGAGTACCACACTAGGGTGGCGTGGTGCGAAGGCGGCCAAGATGGACAACTGGGAGCTGAGATGAGTCACAGTCTATCTGGCAGCGCGGTGACGATATGATCACAAGTAGTGGACGAGACAGGAGGGAGATAGTATGTTCTTGGTCTATCACGGGGGGGCGGGGTTCTTGTCAGAAGAGTGAATGATAAACTAAGAGCAGCTGGTTCGAAACGATGGGCACGGAGGAGGTGTGGGGGGGGAGACTGACCAGCGAGAGTTATCCGATTAGGGGGTTGCGCATTAACACAGTCGAGTGTACGACTATGCTGAGTGCGAAGCGAGACTGGCTATCGGGACTGTGAGTGGACACTGCAGAGCCGGATAACACGTATTGGATCATGGGGGATATGACCTATAATGACTAAATGGAGGGGAGGCGGTTGTTTAACATGCTCTAGAGACACATATTACACAATAAAATGGGCCGAGGCCGCAGTATTGATACGAGCGAACACATCATCGGCGAGAGTCGACAAACTGTTGGTTGGGGTGGGGGGGGGGGTAATTTAATAGGGCTGGGTCAAGAGCGTAGATGAGATGTTGCAGCTAGTGAGTGGAGACCTTATGAGCAGCACTGTCCTGAGGTGACTGATAATTGACTGAGAGTCTATCATGGTTGGTATTATCAGTCTCAACACAATGAGCACACATACTAACGTCAGAAACAGGTTTCATCGATACCACATAGATTGCGGTCAGAGGGATGATCGATTCCAGGTGCGCGGAGAGCGAGATAACAATAAGGCACCAGGCACATGTTGTCACACTCTCAGGCGGAACATGATTGAGGGGTGCTGGTGAGAGAAGGGGCGGGGGGGTGGGGGGGTTAGAGTGAGGAGGACGTATCTACATAGATCTCGTGTAAGAACATAGGGATATAGGGTGCGCACAGAGTGGGGGTGACAGAACAGAATCGACGAAATCCCACTGAGACTTCACGACAGATATGGGAAGGTCATTTTTTATGAATGGGTGGGGGGGGGGGGTTTCAAAAGAGAAGGTGTATTGAGACGGGTGGACTAAAAGCTATAACATTACGTATGGTTTTTCTTTCTGTTAGTAGAGAGAGGGGGCGCTTTAGGGGTTTACATAAAGATCATATCAACAGAGAAACTTGACATCGCACTATATTGGGTAGGGGTGCGGAGAGTAGAAATGAGAAGTAGGAGGATACGAGCGGAGAGGGGGGGGGGGGACACACACTTATACTGTTTCGTACAGATGGCCAGGTAGTCCGGTGAACAGACGGGGGGCAGGTCTAACACAGATCATGTATAGACATAGGAGTAGCATGCTCTGAATTGTTCTAGATCGGGTAATTACTTAACAACTTTATTACTCCAGAGGGAGAACGGTGGGGTTTAGTGTGGTGGTACGGCAGACACAGCTAACACTTCAAGGTCCATATGCTCCAGATGCTAGTCTCACTTGTACAATGTCTGACGGCGATCGCGACTTATATATACTGTCGGTGAAATGACGTTTCTTATTATCAGTTATGGCCGTACAATGGTTAAGCGGAGAGACTTTGACATCACTTTATACTACACGAGAGTCCGAGTTTTGACTTAAAACACAGAAGCAGTAAGCGATGTGCGTGACTGGTCTAATACAAGGATTAAGAGAATTAGTACGATTCTTCTGTGCATATAGGGCGGGGACTTAACCTCACTGGAATTTAAAGCGTCTTTGACACACTCAAATGGAAAGTGCAGTGCATGGGCGAAAAAGTTAACCTGCACTTTCTGATGCTCGAGAGGGGGATTAGAGAATGTGTTCCTACAATTAGTTCACATGTTACAAGCTCATATCTCAGCTTCCTGTTTCAGGAGTGATCTGTTCTACCTGAATATTAGGCAATATCACACACCTGCGGCACAGAGTACGCTAGATGGGACTAAACACATTGGGAAATTCACACTAAGGCACTGCGCAGAACTGTCACGTGGCATCAGATAAGAGAAGTAACGTAGATTGCGGGGGGTAGGCAACGGACAAGCTGACGCGTAGAACGGCATTCTCTGCGGTGTCGGATTAACTGGCTAGAGGTTTAGCGGTCAAATGCCGAGGTCATAACTCAGAATATATGAGTAAGCGGTGGTGGGATACAGGCTACTGGGGGGTTCTGAGTACAGACAGTACTCGACACAGGAGATTACGTGGAAGAGGCATAACAGGTCTTGCAGTGACTATTTACTATCTCTACTAACATTGGTAGAGCGCGATTTTTCACGTGGAGAGAGCTGTGGAGAATAGGAAGGTAGTTAGTCACAGCAACAACATGGGCTCGAGAGAGCAGGTTTTTTATAATGACAGAATACTAAAGCTGATTGTTGTAGAGCTTGACATGGTGTCATATTACGACGAAGGCATAGACAAAGCGTAGAGATGTACGCAGAGTTATTTGGTATTGAGATGGGTGGGAGGACAAAGCACTAAGGACAAGGGAGTATTTGGAGGGATTACGCTGTTTTTTGGGTAGTGTCCATTCCAGTTAAGTGGGGGGAGACCCGATTGCCTGGCTTCGTGCGAGAACGCATCCGATTAGGTCGCGCGGAGGAGAAATAGCCTCGATTTACGAGGCTCATCGCGTGCTCGTACTCAACAGCAGTCAGCGCGAGCAAGCTCTTTACTCGGCAAGATCGTGTAGACATCACTGATACACGTCGTATTGCTGAGCTAGAGCAGTCAATCGCTAGCGTACATACACTCAGGATCGCGCGCGCCGCATATCATCTCGAGTCGCTAGCACGTTATCTCGAGATTTACTAGTACCTGCACTTTCAGATAGCACTGGCGCCTTATAGTGCGTCTGCTCAACACTCCACGGGGGGCTGGTTACTCCTCTGTTAGAGGCTTCTCTATGTACCCGCTATAATCCAGTTCCATTTTCTTTTTTACCTAGTAGCCGGCTGATAGCTTACCGGAAGGATGGTTATCAGTTGCTGGTACCTCAGCTGGCATGCAACTGTGGTTATTTATTTTACTTTTACTTTATGCAGTGCGGCACAGTAGCTGAGGTGTTTCCCACCTACGTTAACGTGCATACTGATTTAGGTTAATGATAACAGCAGCTGGAAATGATTCAATTCACCCGAATCTTCTGCATGAGTTGGCGGTGGAACTATGTGGAGAGCTGACGGTGGTGTTTCAGAAGTCAAATAACAGCTGTAGATTACCTTCTGAATGGTTGGAGGCTGTTAGCTGTACTATCTCCAAAAGTGGCGACAGGAGTCTGTCAGTCAATTATAGGTCAGTCAGTCTGATTAGCGTCGTGGTCAAACTGCTTGAAAAGTTGGTGAGATATCCGTTGAACGGTCACCTGAATAGATTTAATCTACTGTAGTGCACAACGTGGATTCCGGAAAGGATGTTCGTGTCTTGCGGGTTCGTTGGTTGTTCGTGAAGCTTGGGCCGAAGCAATGAACAATGGCCAGGTAGTGGACGTGCTTTTCGTGGACTTCGCGAAAGCGTTTGATAAGGTACCCCAATTGAGGCCATCACGAAAGCTGTGCTCCTACGGCATATCTGGCCGCGCTCTTCACTGGGTATCTGCGTTCTTGCAGGGAAGAGAGGAGTGTGTACGTGTCGGTCGCAGCTTAACTTTTAGGCAAGTGGTCCCTAGCGGTGTCCCACAGGGCTCCGTCCTTGGACCGCTACTGTTCTTCATCTAAGTAAACCATCCCCTGGAGAGGTTGGGGTATCATTCCTATTGTTTGCTGATGACCTTAAGCTATAGAATGTAAATATTCCCAGTGGTGCTGCGGCCTACAGCATATCCTGGACAGACTCTGGTACTGGTCTACTTTGTGGCTACCGCCCATAAATCAGGCTCTGTTTCGTCCTTCATATATGGGCGACTTTCCAGCCTTCGAGCTACGTACTCGGTGGGGCCAAACTTTCCCTTGTCTCCAACTAGGTAGACTTAAGCGTCGTCCATTCCTCGTCTTAGCATTCTGGTGGCAACTGGAAGGAGGCCGCAAGTAGGGGTTTCAGAATAAATAAATAAATATTTTATTCTCGACTCTGCGAATGTTGTGGTTAATAGGCCGTTCTTTCGGGGTCTTAGCTGCCGACATACTGTGAAGCTGTTCCCAGATTTCGTTCGGCCCTATCTGCAATACTGCGTGCAGGCTTGCCCACCTTGCGTTGTTTTGGACAAAATGGAGCTCGAGAGGGTTTTGAGAGTAGGTACCAAATTGTTGGAGGGGTTGCGGGGGCGGTGGTACACCGAGCGTCTATTTAGCTTGAGTATGTATTCAATGCACTGTCGACGGCTTCGAGGAGACCTAATCCTTACTTACCGCATTTAACAGGGAAGGTTGGGCCGGACTTGAGCTGGCTATTTAGCCCGACTAGGTTTCCTTCTCTTCGCGGTCATCCCAGGAAACTACACAGGCCGCGTTCTGACCGGATCAGGGCGGAAACTCGGTTTTAGCGTACAGTTATGGAGCGCTGGAACTCGCTTACAGAAAGTGTAGTCAGTGCGCCTACGGTTAAGGATTTCAAGCGTCAGTTAGACGCTTTTGGGTGGCAACACGAAACATTTCCCTTCTCCTGACCATATCCATCTTCAAATTTGTAGTTTTTATTCTGTCATTCTCTTCACTCTTTGCCGTTGTCCTTCATTTAAATGACGTTCATTCCCCTTTACCTTCCATTCACTTTCTACTTCTTTCTTACTTCACGTGACCTACACAGCAGGGCCTGCTTGTGCAGGGAACGTAGGCAGTAATTGGTAGATCAGGGTGTGTTTTGAGTGATTCCTTGTTGAGCTATCAAGACCTAGCACCTTATCATTTCCTGGCTCAAGGATTTGCCCAAGAATGAACACTCCAGGTATTTTCTTATCGTTCCAGTCCATCTGCATCTGAAAGAACAGTACGATCGAACAAACTGCTGCATTTTACACTGTACCCTACGGTGACGTCCTGCCGTCGACATAGGTGGTGAAACAACTTCCAGCTTCCGCCGTACCATTGGTTGTCTCGTTTTCGATCCCAAGGACGCTGATACAACTTTCAAGGCAGTGGAATTTCTGAAGGTATTCCAGCTGATCTCCACCAAGGGTCAGCGCTGGATACGATCCCTGCCAATGTTTAAGGGAAGCATTGCACTTGCACGGTGGAAAGTGAAGCCGGGAGCCGCTGAGGTGCAGCGGTAATCTGCCCAGCTCATGTTCGCACCTCTAGTAGTATTGCAAACATGATGGCAATATCGTCTGTATATCTAAGACAACAACTCGTTCACCTTACAAGTGGTGTACTATAAATGGCATCTCCGTTAATTCGTCAGTGGCGAAGTTTAAGAGGAACGGTGACAACTGTCATCCTTGTCTCACACTGCTGAAAAGGTTGAAGGACGGCGACTGCTTGCCGTAAGCTAACACTCTGCCCGTGTGACCCGCGTATAATGCTGTGATAATATTTACATATTTCTCGGGCACACTTTTCCTCAGTTGACAGTCACAACGACCACATCGGTAAACAGAATCGAAGGCAACTTTGACGTCCAGGAGTACCACTACCGTGCGCCGCCAATATGTGTGACTGTCTCCAACAATTGATGCAAAGTTAGCATGTGGTCGATGCAGAAACCACCCAGGCGAACCTTCTCCCCTCCGGTTTGGCAACCTGAGGCGCGATTAAGTATTTGATCACCGTTGTCGGCGAAGGATTATTACTGTCGGATGGCACCGGGGTATCCCCAAGGATTATGTACGTAAGGAGAGTAATGGGTAGAGATTATCATGCTAGCTCAGTTGAGACGACAGCTAACATTGCATACGTTGCGCTGGATTGGGCCCCTTGCACGGATTTTTGGTTAAAGTCTACCCAGCAGGGTATTGTTCAGTCTGTCCTACTTAGGATGCCGCTGAGGTAGAGGCGGACAGTTGAGTCGGCAGCACGCCTAAACAACTAATATTCACTGTGCAGGCATACGCTTCCATCTCGTAGTTGATAAACTAAATGTGAGCTTTCCTTGTGTTCCGTGCATGCCAACACGTCCACCCTGGATAATTTTTAACTTGGCGCCATTCTTTATTTTGTCTCTCTGTGATCCATTGAGCTATGTTAGTTGCTGCTTTTTCGCACTTTCAGAACCAATGATACCAGGTTGGTCAATGGTTAGAGGCCAGAGAAAATCATCCTCCTAATCTTGGGGTACTCCTTGTAGCCGAACGCACAAAACCGGTGCCTACCAATCAGGTTTTTGGAACAAAGTCTTTGGTTGAGAACCCTAACGATTTTTCTGCGTAGGCCTGGGCAAACGGATAGTATCCTGCTTAATTAATGCAATGAATCTTTCCTCAAGCAGTTTACTGATGCTCTGGCAACCGCACAGTGTAATCAACGGTGCCCCGTTTGCTGCATCCAGCAGGGTGCATAGAGCTTTGTATTATACTAATCATGCATTCCCATGTTATCACACCCCTTTTTCACCCCAATCGTCCCGGTCCAGCTTCACCTTTATCCGCCCTGTTTTCAACCCCAGAATCATGGCCTTCCCACACCTTGCTTTAATATTTGCTTCGCTTCTAGTTTAAACTCACATGTGAACGGAGAGCGTCGTTCCTGATACGGTAAACCGGGACTCCTGTCGACATCTGAACGAGGTACTTCGTCACCGAAGCAGCGGGGGCACTGTAGTGCTCATAGGGGATCTGAACGCTCAAGTCGGAAACTTATCCACTGACGAACTGCGTCTTGGTCGAAAACATGGTGTAGTTACCCGTAATAATAACGGTACGTGCTTATTTTATTTGTGTGAAGACGGTGAATTAGTTCTTGTGAACACTAATTTCCGACAGAAAAACCGCCGGAGGATACCTTGGCGCCCCTCACCTTCTAACCACCTAAGGACGCAAAACCATCACATTTCGATAACCTCACAATGGAGAGGCTGTGTCCAGAAATGCCGCTGGATTTGGAGTACATGTGTAGCCACGGACGATGCACTTGTGGGGGTGGACCTACGGAAGCGTTTAATGGACTGCAAGAGGACATCCTGAGCGCATTGACACCAGGTAACTAAGGAAGTCAGCTAGTCTGAATGCCAGTGCACACCAAGACCCGTGGTCTGTCCCTCTAGAACCACCCTTCCCTTCAAGTCCAACGTGAGATGGCACTCTTGAAGTTAAATAACACCGCGGGATGCCATGATCTTCCTCCAACACTCGTGAAATTCGGGGGATATGCCCTTGTCGATGATTTATAATAATTAATATTGAAACCGTTGGAGCAGGAAACTGTACCAACCACTGGATCCGCTCTGTTGTGGTCGCCATTTTCAAGGGAGGCTGACGATCGGAATGCGCAAATCATAGAGCATTCCGTGTGATCTCCATCGCCTTCAAATTGCTTGCCTCTGTCATCTTTCACAGACTGATTAGCACTCATGAAAGCCATATTCGTGAACAAGAAGTCGAGTTTCGTGCACGTAGTGGCTGCATTGACCATATCTTCACTTTGCGTCACTTGGGGGAGCACTAAGACATACTTTGCCAGTGGAACATGATCCTGTTCCTTGATACCAACGGTGCAACCCTATCCGTGGATAGAAGTGCACTTTGGGAATGTCTAATCAGGATACGCGTTTCCGAGAAATACATAAATATTATGCGATCATTATACGCGCGTAGCTAAGGCAAAGTTGGGGCTTACGGAAAGCTGTCGTCGCTGTGTTCTATCTCCAGCGGTGTGAGACGGGGATGTCTGTTGTCACTTTTTCTCTACAAATGTCCTGTTGGCAAAGTAATGTGAATGGCATTCACAGGACACGACTTAGAACGTGTGGAGCTACGCCCAGGGGAACTAATTCATGACTTAAAATATGTTATTCACATTGAACGCATATGTGTGACAGGAGGAAAAGCAGTCGAGGGCACTGGACAGATTACCACTGGCTGTCCGTCACTTCGGGCTTCGCTTCCAACCTCCTAAGTGCAAAGTGTTCCTCCAACATTGGACTAGACCGCCTCCTACGTTGACCGTTTGGGTGGAGGAGCTGTAAGTCGTTCGAAACTTCAAATACCTGGGAAGTTGTATCAAAGCCCGTGGGATAGAAGATGACAAAACGAACCGTATAGCAAAAGCTTGAGGCACTTTTGCTCCTCACTGGCTGGGGTCCGAAAAACGCACTGGTGTGACTGCATACACATGCTGACATGACTACTGTTGTGTGTTCTGTCAGCATTCTTGACCTAGTCTAAACAGACAGGTGCATACAACCCCAGACACACACACACACAAAGCGTCCAATTCTCTGTTTCCCTATTGGTTCATCCTTCTCCTCGTGACCCTTTAATGTACTCACCCAGTTAGACATTGATCAGATTACAGCAGTCCGTTTATCAGAATGACCTTTTAACTTGCTCGTGCATTTTTACCTTACGTATACAAAACTGGCGTCGCGCCTTACGAACCTGCGCCATGGAATTACATCCTTCTACAGTTTACTGGTCTGATCCGACCTTACGTCCTACCGAAAGTGCATGGGCCCAGTGGAAAACCTCGTTTACAAAATACCTTGACCTAATACCTGCGGCTGCCAACTACACTGAAGGCCAGAAACTGGCCCCTGTTCTATCATTTCTTCTCTAATCGGACTGCCAACTCTTAGTGCCTTGTAATAACCTAGTGTCATCTGACCGGTATGCTCCTTTGACCTTTTCCAGACTAGCAAGATATACCGATCTAATCTCTCTAGACTCACAACTATGTCTTGCTTACATTGACAGCCCGCTAGACTTGTTTACCCTTGATTAATATAGGCACTTCCATCAGTAACCTGTACCCTCAAATCTTCAATCGGATGACCGACGCTTAGTGCCATGCCCTTCTTTGTCATTATCTGATCAGTGAAATTCTCTGGGAGTACTACGAGGCCTCCGGATGTGTCGACTTCTCGAGTCTCGTCTGTTCGGTCTCCGGCTCTCAGAGTTCTCTCAGATTACCGGGATATTACCGATGCTATTTCAGCACTGAACGTTTCATACTTCGCACGAGAGCGTCCCTGGCTCACCACACTTTAGTGGTAAACCTTTTTCATCCTGACTATCGTCTCTTAATTGCTCTCATGAGTTACTCTTCGCACTGCCGTCCGCATTCTTCCTCTCATAGCTGATTCCTTAAATTTCCTTTTCTTCTTAAAACGTTGCTTTGCTTAGGTTGCTCCCGCATTCGGTCTCAACCATGTTGTCCTTAGTTTCACCTAAGATGCCGCTCGCATTCGGTCTGCTGTCATCATAATCGGTTTACCTGTTACTCTCCAATAATCATATTAATCGCTTAACGTTGTCAACACGCTTTGTTATACCCTTCTTTCTACCTAGTAGTTGTAGTCTGAGGCACACCAGCGACGTGATGTAAAGAACGCGCTTGCAAATCATGTATACTAAACAAAATTACATAAATTTTAATGTATCATAGGCAACGTTGCGCGCGACCAGTCTGTGTTTGTGCTTCTTGCTTCGTTGCTGTCTTTCAGTTTGGCTGCCTCTTGTCCGTTGCCCGTTTCTCTCGAGATTTCCACAGATACATCCGCCAAAACAAGAAGGTTTATCCACTAGGAATAGTCGACCCACTTTCAATAGCCAGCTGTTTTACATGCTTGTTCTTTTCTCCGGGAGATGAAGAACCCACACATCGTTCCAAATGGAGTTCTTTTCGCCATTCTGGAGAAGCTACCACCACGGGGTCTAAACAAATGGGTTTAGCCCGCCTCGTACTCACAGTAGAACAATTTACTCACCTGGAATAATGTAGTTACATGGATCCACTGTTCCACAACCGGAGACTGACAATTCTGGCGTGATTACCTTCACTGCCTCAAACATTCCGATTCTCCAGTCACCTGGAGCTTTTCTGATGTCATTTCACGGACAGCACTGCGCGCGCATAAGCGGCTTTTCCGATGATCTTTCCTGGAGTTCTCACTTGGTTATGGAAACAATTACACTTACATTTGAAGGAAATACTTGTCCACTTCGCGGAGAATAGCATTTATTCCTGTTTTGGACATATTCAGACACAAGAAACAACTGCACTCACCGTCCCTATGACAAGTCCAGCATGGATAGCTGGACACGGGTTGCGAGCCGGACAATATAATAGAAAAAGCCGGCCTCTATTAACAATATGTTTACTCACCCGCATCATTATCATTCGACTTTGCGACTGTTTTACATCATTGACTGGCTTCAACGACTATTGCCGGTTCAGTACTAAGCCATTTGACCAACCAACGAAAAATTTTGGCTGTCAACCGACTGCGAATAATAGAGTGCAAAATCGGTCTATACGATGCATAGCCGACTAGCACTACAGTTCAACGGAAGCTACGACAGTGTTCCAGGACGTGGTGGGTTTTCGCCTGGCAAGCGTTCTCCCTATAAAAAGCCACAAATGTCCGCTTAACAACACTGCAACGTGGCGGATGTGACTCGCCACAAAATAAAGTCACAGCTATACATTTCACACTGACGCAGTCCTCAGCCTCCAACATCGAACCTGTGCAACTGATTTTACTATGAAGAATGCTTTAGTGGAGTACCGATCATCCCGGCTTCGTAATGGTCATCGATTGCACTAAACCTTGTTCGGGCTCCTGTGCTGATGGATCACTACATGGCAAATTTACCCCCCACTTGTATCTTGACGCAACCGTTTTTGCGCGCCACGGCGCCATTATGATCCTTGGTCTGACTATTACCTGACAATATGCTCGCTCTTATGGACTACATCTTTTCGTTTATTCCTTTCATTGTAACGAAATGTTTTAATATTCCAAAGAAGCTATGCTTGTATGCATATTTGATCATGCCTTTTAGAGGTGTGTCTCGTTTTACAGAGAATATACCATTTATTTATTTATTTATTTATTTATTTACAAGGTGATGAGGGACAACGTCAATTTGATGCTTTGGAGCTGCAGTCACAAGATACCTTAACGAAAGCGCTAGAGGTGCTGGACAAGTCATGGGGACAGCGTACAAATCTCTTCATGGCTCGCCCCAAATTCGGCCGACTTACACAGGAACCATCGGAAACTCTAGACGGTCTCGTTGATCGCCTGATTCGCGGGGTACGACCCTGCGAGTATTCAGCCATGCCGAAAAATAGAATCGAGGGCGTAATGCTAGTGCAACAGTTGATTAGTGGTATCACCAACAACCGAATTCGGGAATGCCTACTTTCCGAAGACGCTTCCAAATTGACTTGGGATAAGGCTGTGGAATTAGCGCGCCTCAAAACATGTACGGCCGAACAGCTGCGATGTTTCGCCACCCACGCAGACAAACAGGAGGTTGCCAAGATCCATCGCTCGCCAACCGAATTCCAATCACCAAGGAAATGCTTCCGCTGCGGCAGCCTACAGCATAAAGCCAATTTTACCAAGTGCCCTGCCTTAGAAATGGATTGTAAAAAGTGCGGTAAGCGTGGACATTTTGCTCGTTGTTGTCGTTCAGCACGCATTTCTCAGTTGAATCCTACATATTCCGTTTCTAATCAACAGTTACAGTCCTTTGAAAATGTATTTTCCATTGATAACACAAGTACTGTGTCTGACTATCGTTCCAATTGTCCAGAGCCTAAACTACCTATGCCTGACATTCGTGCTGTTACGGTTATTGCACACGATAGAATAACACATGTTGACATGGCGCTTGATTCAGCTTCTCCTATCACTATAGTACCGAGCAGCTTTTATGACATTCACCTACATGACATGCCTATACATCCTTCAGCCTATCGATTTGACAGTTATACAAAGGCCCTGGTAGAAATACGAGGATTTGTGGTGAGTGTGTTGCAACTTGGGGCCGTGAAATCATCAGTTGCTGTGCACGTTATCCGCGGAAATAACCGTCCCTTACTCGGACGCAACGCTATGGTTGCACTGGGAGTCTCGCCGTCCCTAGCTCGTATGCGTATCATGGCAATTAACCTATCAGACCTACAGCTACAGCACCCGAAATTATTTGAACAAACAATAGGGCGCGCTCCGTCTTCCGTTCACCGCATATGTCTGAAGCAGGATGCTAAACCGGTATCTGTTGCTAATCCACGTCTAATTCCTTTGGCCAGAAGAGAGGCTGTTTCGTCAGCATTACGGCAGATGATTGCAGATGATCTCATTGAACCCATTAACTGTCCAGAATGGGTCCACCCTTTGGTTACAGTCCTCAAGAAGGACGGTACAGTAAGAATATGCAATGATCTGCAGGCCCTAAATCGGCACATCGTGGTATAAAAGTTTGTGCTTCCAACCGCGGATGAACTAATAGTTAAACTAGCTGGGGCCCGATACTTTTCAAAATTGGACTTTAGGAAGGCTTTCTTTCACATGCCTCTAATTTAGGAGTCAAGACCGCTGACCGCATTTCTCACAATTGACGGACTCTTTCAGTACAAAGTCTTGCCAATGGGTTTGAGTTCAGCTCCAGCAGCTTGGCAAAAGTTTATGGTTCACTCATTTGCCAATGTACCTGGTCAAATAGTATACATGGATGATATCTGTGTATTCGGTAGGACTCCAGCAGAACATGATTCACGACTGCACGCTGTGTTACGTCGACTACACGATCTTAACCTCAGATTAAACCTCGAGAAGTGCAAATTTAATGCTAGTGAGATCGAGTTCCTGGGCCACATTATAACAAATGACGGTATTAAGCCGAGTTTTGACAACGCGCGTGCCATCACCGAGGCTCCGTGCCCACAGAACTCCACTGAAATAAAGCATTTTCTAGGTATGTGTTCTTACAACCTACGTTACCTGCAGGATTTCACAAATATTGCTGAGCCACTGCGTGAACTGACAAAGGAGAAAAGTGTATTTGTTTGGGGTCCACCCCAACAAAAGGCATTTGATGAGATAAAACGCCGCATTGCTTCCACACCAGTTATGGCGATTTTCGACGAGACGTGCCCAACGATTGTCTCTACTGATGCATCAAACATTGGGTTGGGTGCTATACTATCTCAAATTCAAAATGGGCATGAAAGAGTTATTGCATACGCTTCCAGAAAATTGTCGGCGGCGGAGCTTACTTACTCTGCCGGGGCAAAAGAAGCCCTTGCCTGTGTTTGGGCCTGTGAGAAGTGGAATCTGTTCTTGTTCGGAGGACCCTTCACTCTTCGTACAGACCACGCAGCGCTAACTAGTTTACCTACTGGGGGAACAAATGGCATCTGGCCACTTCGGATACATCGCTGGTATGCACTACTGTTAACATACGATTTTCAAAATAAATTCCGTCCCGGACGCGAAAATCAGGTAGCGGATGGGCTCTCTCGACTGCCCCTCAACGAAACTGAAAATAATGAGGATGATAATGAGAGGTTAATGGTGTCTTCCCTGAGTAATGAACCAATCTCAGCCCTGACTAAGGAAGAACTCCAGAAGGCGACTCAGGAAGATGAGACACTCTGCCACGTTCAGGGGTTTCTGCTAAACGGTTGGCCACAAAATAACGAGATCACAGGCGAGGTTCGTCCGTACTACGTGTTGCGTCACGAACTTTCATTTATAGATGGATGCTTTATGCGTGGCGAGAAATTTGTGGCTCCTCGGAATTTGCTACAAAATATCATGCTATCTGCTCACGAGAGCCACCCTGGTATCATTCGTACGAAGCGCAAGGTTGACGCATACATCTGGTGGCCCAAAATGACACGCGAAATAGAAAAACTTGTTCATGACTGCTCTTCACGTCAAAGGGCAGACAAGAGTTCAAGGCCGGTTTCATCCCCTATACAACCCATTGATTATCCTATGCGACCGTGGGCCAAGATAGCTGTTGACATCATGGGTCCATTTGGCTCAGCGCCTCAGCATCAAAGGTACTGTTTGGTGGCTACCTGCTTTTACAGTAAGTGGCCGGAAGTCCATTTGTGTGGAGAGGTGACTACTGCCAGCATTATTCGATGGCTGAAATATATGTTTTCCCGTTTCGGATTACCAGAGGAGATAGTGACGGACAACGGCCGCAGTTTACAAGCCACGAGTTTCATTCGTTCCTTCAACTTCACGCTATCCGGCACTCACGTACAACGCCACACAATCCAGCGGCAAATGGTATGGTAGAGCGGTTCAATCGATCCTTGAAAGAGAGTATTCAAACTATTCGCTTATATGGTACAGGTTAGGAGGATGCAGTACTACAAGCACTATTCTCTTACCGAACGGCACACCACCGTGCTACAGACAAAACGCCAGCTAAACTCATGCTTAGGCGGGAGCTTCGGACAAAGTTGAATGCCGCACTTTCTATTCCTGCAACCAATAATTCCGACGAGTTAGATCGTCGCCATCGATATCAGACCACTTACCGGCAGCACACTACTCCGCTCCAGCCCGGAACATTCGTGCGCGTGAAGGTAAACACTGCATCAAAAGGACAACCCACGTTATCAGATCCGATAAGAATAACGCGTGCATGTGGGCCAGGCACTTACCGGTTGGAGGATGGTCGCACAGTCAACGCCCGGAGATTATTCACAAGTATCAGACGAACGGAGCATATGCCACTAACCTTCACGGACGAAACCACGCAAAGCCCACAGCTCCGCAGGACAGGCCGAGAACAAACACGACCGAATCGATATGGGCTTGACGTATCAAACGATTAGGCGGAGAGGTGATGTTGTGTATTCTGTCAGCATTCTTGACCTAGTCTAAACAGACAGGTGCACACAACCCCAGACACACACACACAAAGCGTCCAATTCTCTGCTTCCCTATTGGTTCATCATTCTCCTTGTGACCCTTTAATGTACTCACCCAGTTAGACATTGATCAGATTACAGCAGTCCGTTTATCAGAATGACCTTTTAACTTGCTCGTGCATTTTGACCTTACGTATACAACAACTACCAGCGGAACTTAGTGGCGTTCTTGCCGAGTAACTTTGCACGAACCATTCCCTATTAGCATTCAATGCAACCACCATCTCACTATATAGTGCTGTATGATTTCGTATAGTAATTTTTTACGGAATAGTAACCGGCTGATGGCTGACTGGAACCAAGCCCAATCGGTAATGATAGCTCAGCTAGCTTGCACCTGTTGAATTTTCTCTTTGTTTTTATCCTACGTTTCGCGACCGAGTAGCTAGGGCTTTTTCCATCCCTAACTAGCAGGTTTAATGCTGATGATTACGCTTTCACTTGTACAGAAGATGGGGCGTCAGCTAGATGAAAATGCGCACAGCATACAAAAATTAATAATAATAAAATTTTTTTGATAGCATAACCACACATACTGTTGCAACCGCTACCTTAATACACGTACGCAAGGTAAAGTCTACATCAAACAAAGACACATGAAATGCTTGTTTTCATAAAAGCAAGAAACTTACCGACCGTGAGATGGACATTGGCGAATACATGGTAAGTAGTTTACTTCTGCAAATAACTTTCAATTACAAACTCTCGTGCTGTTCTCTCCCGGTCACCTGCAATGCGTTGCATGATTACATGGAATACCGGGAACTTACATTCTGCAGAAAACGCATTCATGAGTATCCTCACCATGAAATGACGCGCAAGTTTGATGGAACCAACTTGGGCATCTGGTGCACATCACCCAGGAGACCTCGCTACCACCCGTGCAAAATTCCTCTTCCTGCAGACGCAATTCACACGCAGTTGTTGGACCCTGGCCATTTGCACTCCCATGTGCACCACGTTTGCTCTGCGTTCTGCACGTAGCGGAGGTAATCGTCAGCAGCCTACGAAATTGCGTAAGGCACGTTGCGCTGGTACCGGGAGCCGGATTTACAACACGATGGATCAAGGGTTCCTTACGCGCACGTTTTCGATGCCCTGGATCCTTCACAGAGACCACTGTAGCGGAAGTTGACGGGATTGGGATGATTTCCTGTTTGCCATCCAAAATAACGCAGTCCTCAACGTTTGCCGACGTTTCAGCGGAGCCGGCCGCAATAACTGGCACTTTATTTTCACACTGACCTCCCAAAACATTGCCTCACCCGAGAACTTTGTTGAACTTGCTCGTGCTTTATTATTACAGCTTATT